TATATTGTTATGACTTCAGTTTGATTTAAGTCGCATGTTTTTTTCTTGCTCATATGTGCCAAGTTTGGCATGTGTGAAATCATGGGATTTTGAGAATTAATTTAATTCATATTATTATCCACATATGTTTTTGTAGCATGTGGGTATATCTTATATGGCACCACCTTATGGGCTTGACCCATGTGAAACTTTAGTGTTGTTAAAATCCTATTGGTTGTGTCATAAGATATTTTATTCACTTGTGTGGATATCCCATATTACCTTTATGTCTATGTTCTTGTATTTTATTTACTCTCACAAATTATTTAAAAACCATGGGCATAAATGTAAACATGAATCTGGACTTAATGGGAAATAAAACATGGAGCTAAGGGCTTCCAGGTAAAATGACTATAAACCTAGGTTTTAAGGAGTGAAGGGTGTCAAAAGCTCCTCCATTGATACTGGTGATAAGATATGAATGAGTGGCTTGGATAAAAGCCTCTCATATGCTATTGATCTAAGGCATCAGGGATCAAGATCAAATCCATCTTTATGATCTAAGATAAAAGTAACTTATGGGATCAATTATCCATAGAGCCTTCCTCGCACAACATCTTTCACCTATGGATGTGACACCCATTACTTTAATGCTTGGTTTCACTCTATTAGAACCACACTCCCAAGAGTGCAAAAATATGAGTTCATAAACACATGAATATATGAGAGCGGAAATCAAAAAACCAAGCGGCAAGGCTTTTAATGGCGATTTATTCGGCTACAGAGGTATAAAGATGGAGGCAAATAGGTGGTCCATTTTAAAACAATTGAAACTAACGATCCAAATGTTTTCTTAATAGAATTATTATTTCTAATTTTCTAATTTTATTTATTTTTTCATATTCATGATCCCATGTTAAAGATTACATATTCTCTACAACTTAGGATCTAATTCTATTTAAAAATAAATTTATTAAGGCGCTTACATTTCTACATGTGCAGGCTTGACTGCATGCTAACTGCATCTATTGTTATATATTTAAATATTTTTTGTATTTTTATATTTATTTTAATTTTTATCTACTCCTCTTTTCGCTTTATGGCTTGGCTCGGCTCGTGAGCTTGGCTATGAAGAAAGAGGTAATAAACAGCCTATTTGAGAGCGAGAAAATTAGGGGGAAAGAGATGCCTTATAACAGTTCAGATTATGAAGCAAAGAATTGGGATATGGAAGCCCTAAACTTCTAAAAATTTGAAGTTTTATATTGTTGAGATAGAAATGGTTTGCAAAATGTGTGGATCTATGGAGGGTGAGAATGAAAGTCAGGATGAGAGATTAGTGTGGGTAGTTGGCATAAGGGGGCGAAGAATTCAGAAAATGGAAAGAGAAGGGAGCTGACGAGATTTCGGGAAATGGGGCAAGAGTCTCGAAAATTGAAAGAGAACGGAGATGGAGAGATTTGGGGAGTGGGGAAGAAGAGATGAAAGAAAGAGGAGGGCGATAGATGATCAGAAAAGAGAGGGATACTCGGCTCATTCAATTCGGCTCATTCATTCAATTGCTCTCTCTCCCATTGGAGGGAGGCTTGGGGGTGAAGGAAGTTGGAATGGGTACTCTCTCCTCTCTCTATCCAAAAATTTCAATGGGTACTGTAAATGGGACAAGATTTTTTATTGTTTCCCTCTTTCTAAATTAATATTTCTCTCTAGACTAAATTGTGTAGCATTATTTATACTCCCTGAAAAATAAAATGATTGATTGGCTACTATATGCTATGGGTCTTTATGTTGTTTCTCTGTTTTCGAACCTGTAATTAGCTACATTACTCCTCTCTTCCTCTCTCTACTTCTTTTTCTCTCTCTTCTCTTTACAGTAATGTGACAAAATTTTAAGATAGAGGTGGACAGTAATGTGACAAAATTTTAAGATAGAGGTGGACAGTCAAACATGCACAGAAAAATGCATATTCAGAATAATAATTCATATATATGGAAAATTGGTAATGGCTATTCATATTTCTAAAAATATGAATATTCAGATTCTGTTATGTCAAACAGAGCCTTAAAGTTTTAAAAACAAAGAGAAGAATCTCGTTTCCCTTTTTTCTGCACTATTTTTATTTAAATGAGAGAGAGCAGATAGAGAAGCTCACTGTGATGGAAATGCTATAGGATATGTTACAGGGAATGCGAACTCCATGGAAATGATAAGCCGGTAAGAATGTCGGACTAACCCTCCAATATTTTTTTTTGGGTTAGTCAGTGGGGGAGACATAACCCCGCCAAATCTAGTTTCGGACATGCACTTTCTCAGATATTATTACCAATCGCTTTGCATTGGTATATATCTGATATTAACGCTGGGATTTGGAGGTATTTGGATTGAGTTGAGGCACGAGGGAGGTTAATGGTAATCAGAATCTCAGAGATTCTCATAAAAGTAACTGTGATTTTCAGTTCACGTAAAGTACAGAAGAGAGAAGGAGAGAGAGAGAAAGAGAGGATTTTTGAGGAATTGTTTTGGTTAAAAATGGGAGAAATGTGATTGGTGAGTGTTTGTATTGGTTGATTTTTTAATTGGTTCAAAATGGATTTCAGGAGGGGTTTAAGCGTGAAGTAGTGGAGGGAGAGAAGCCTTGTCCAATGACGCGTCTGTGAACTGAACATTCCACTTGCGAGTGATGTGGTAATTTCTTATTTGTGTTTCATTATATTTGTTGTGAGAGAAAATGTTATTCCTTTGTTTTTGCTTTCTTTTTTCTATTATTTATCAGTATCGAGTGTTAAGCGTTAGGTGGTAATGTATGTGCAGGGAGCAACGCTGACTTGCTTCTACGAGATCGACAACATTAGGCTGCCTCGTAATTCCCCCATTCACCTCATGACCATTTGTGTTGTGTGGGTATGGAAACAAACAAAACCCTATTCTTAAATATTCTCAATGACCTCTTGAGTTTTACTGTTGCCAGTCATAGTAAATAGTTTCTCAGATATTTGGAATTCCAACAAATTTCTGAAGGTGCTTCTGTTTCCTCTAACCCTACCTCACTTTCACCAAATCTAGTTAAGCCTACAAGTGTCAGTTATAAGATAAGATATTCTTACCATACTTGTAAGAAATAACCTGAATTACAACTGAGAAAGAAAGAACATGCAATGCACATATCGATTCTCTTATGTACACATAGCAAGTTTAGATGCATCCTAATCTCTCATCGCCATCTTTTCTTTGTAGATAAAGTATTAGAGATAAATTTATGGGATTTGAGAGTAAGACTGCTCCATGCAACTGGGTTTGTTGCATTCCAGCTAAACTCAAACTAATTCATGAAACACAGGAAGTGAATATATGAAATTTTTGCACTATATATGAGGTTCAACAAAGCCTCAACAAGGATGCACACCCTGAAGAGATGCCATGCATAACAAAAGTCAACTCGTATTAACAACACCTATATTGCATTTCTCTTGTCTCTTCTGACCCCTCTTTTGGACTGTCTGGATTTGATGGTTACATGAATTTTACATCTGTTAATTCTTCTTTCTAGTTCATCGCATGGGTTCTATCAGATTTTGGCCTACCTTAGTTCCAGGGTACAACAAGGGTACATTAAGAACGAAAAAAACATAAGAATTATATAGACTTGTGAGATCAATTTATGTATATGTAATTTAGATATGCTTTACAATGGTTTGTGAGTTTTTATTGTCAAATGTCCTAGTTTTTTTTTTTTTTTTTCTGGATTTTTTTGGAATCTCCAACCCTAAACCATATTTTGTAATCCAATTTGTTATATTCTTTTGTACTTATTTGGATTCCTTACATGTTGTTTTTAGTTTTGTTTTGGGTCTAAATATTTTATTTTATTTATTAGCATTTTAAAGAAATCTTTTTTTTAAGGGGCTTTGGGTCATGTACAGGCCTAGTCCACTCAGCCTCGCACTTGGCTGAGTTACTCGGGCTGATTCCAAGGCCCAAGCAAAGTGGAATAACACTGCTTAGTATTAACCATGAATGTCTGTCACACACACAGACATGGCCATGGTGTAAATATTCATACATGAACCCATTCATTTCTTTAACATTGGGAAATTTTGGTACCTGATTTCAGGAGTTTCTTTGATGAATTCTTTCATAGGGGGATCCTCAACAAAGCTAGCAATGCGACCTTTATAGCTCTTGTCCCTAAGAAAGAAGGTGTTGAAGAGCTTAAGGACTATCGTCCTGTTAGCTTACTCAACTCCTCATACAAAATTCTAGTCAAGGTTCTGGCCTCTATACTCAAGCAGGTCCTTCGACTCATCATTTCGCAATCCCAATCAGCCTTCATCCGAGACAGGTTGATCATGGATGGTGTGGTGGTTGCTCATGAGTCTATTCACTCTAGGTTTCTCTCTAAGAAACCAGGATTGATTTTCAAGATTGATTGGGAGAGAGCTTATGACCACCGACTGGCATTTACTGGATGAGATTATGGCAAGAATGAACTTTGGCCCCCCATGGAGAAAGTGGATAAGAGGCTGTATTTCTACCCCCCACTTTTCAGTCCTTATAAATGGTAGCCCAAAAGGTTTCTTTGCTGCTTCAAGGGGGCTCCGTCAAGGGGACCCACTCTCTCCCTTTCTCTTTACTATAGTTGCCGAGGTCTTCCGCAGGTTGATCTCTCGTCTCTACCAAGAAGGACTTCTCTCGGCTTGTCTCTGTAGCTCACAAGGCCCTAGGGTATCTCATTTGCAGTATGCAGATGATACCTTAGTTTCCTTAGATGCGATCCACTAGCAAATTGAGAACCTCGGAATCTTCCTCAAATACTTTGAGAATGCCACTGGCTCCAAAGTAAATATGGAAAAATCTAAGATGATGGGAGTGGGTCTCACACCTCAAGAAATAAAGTCCCTGATTCCTTCTTGGGACTGCAAAATAGAGGACCTTCCTACCACCTACTTGGGGATCCCTTTAGGTTTCGGGAAACCCAAAAAGAGACACTGGGTACATGTCATAGATAGGGTTGATAGGCGTCTAGCTGGATGGAAAGAAAGATTCCTTTCTCTGGCCGGTCAGTCTACGCTGGTTAAGGCAACTTTGGCCAACTCCCCTGTCTACTTAATGTCCATTTTCCATATGCCAGTGTCGGCGGCTAAGAGATTGGATCAATTGATGAGAAATTTTTTGTGGTCAAGGCAAGCTGAAAAAACAAGACACCACCTTATATCATGGGATAGAGTCCGACTGCCCAAAGCCCATGGTGGTCTGGGTATCAGAGATCTAAGAAAGCATAATCAGACCCTTTTAGGGAAGTAGTGGTGGAGATTGGCCACTCAACCAAATTCCTTTTGGGCACAGGTTTTTCGAAAGAAATATAAAATTTCGGACCAGTCTTGGGATCTTGGAAAGCCCTCACGGAGTAGGGCTTCAGGAATTTGGAAATCCCTCGCGTCCTCTCTTGCTCAGTTCAAGAAAGTGGTTCGCTTCCATTCTAAAGACGGGAACAGAGTTCGCTTGTGGTCTGATCTGTGGATTGGAAATGCTCCCCTTAGGGATCTCTTTCCTGACCAATATCAACTTGCTTCCAACAAAGAGTTCGGTATTGCAGATGATATGGTCTTGGTAGGGGGGCGTATATCTTGGAACCCTTCCTTTCGAAGGAACTTATCCGAAGAGGAAATTTTACAGTTCTCCACTCTTTCGGCTGCTCTTCACTTGGTGTTCCTAGCTTATCAGGGAGTGACTCTTTGGTATGGACACTTTCCTCTTCTGGTAAGTTTTCAGTTGCATCTTTCTATAAGCTTCTTACCCAGCCCCCTACCTTCCCGTTGAATCCCATCTCTCCCTTCCTCAAGGTGTGGAACACAATAGCTCCTCCTAAACTTTAGTTTTTCAATTGGATCGCTGGCTCTCATAGTGCCCTAACTCTTGATCAGATCCAAAAAAGAGGCCTGCCACTCCCAAACAGATGTGTAATGTGTTTGACAGAGGAGTCGTCCAACCCCCACCTCTTCATGCATTGCAGTATGGCTTTTGAGCTTTGGACACTGATCCTACAATTGTTTAGTTTCCATTGGGTCCTCCCACACTCGGTAAAAGACTTATTTCTTCATTACTCTGGAGGTCCTTGGATCAAAGCAGGTATAACCTTGTGGAGGGCAGCTTTAGCTGCTACAGTATGGGTTTTATGGCTTGAAAGAAATGATAGGGTCTTTCAAGGGCACACAAATGATGTTTCTGGGCTATTTCATAAGGTTACATTCCTTGTAACATTTGGGCCTCCACCCATAAGATCTTTGGTGGGATTCTTCCGAGTTCTTTCCTCAGGCATTGTGACAATATTATCTGAATTCTTTCCTCAGGCATTGGGACAATATTATCCGAATTCAGCATCTCAATCTTCGGAGACCTCACAACTGGTTACCTCCTCCAGTTACAGCCATTAAGCTAAACTTTGATGGTTGTTCTTTAGGAAACCTAGGCCCTTCAGGAGTAGGGGGAGTTTTCCGTGACCACAACAGAAACGTTCTTTGGACATACTCAGAATTTGTTGGACATGGAGACTCACAATTCGCTGAAGCCTTGACACTTCTTGTGGGCCTAAGACTCTTTAATCCCTCATGGGGTCAATCCTTAGTGGTGGAAGGAGACGCCAAAAACAGTCTTTCATGGGCAGCAGGCACCACCACCCCTCCCTGGTACCTTTCTTGAATTTTTGATGAAATTTACCACCTTTGCAGGCATACCAACGTTTGTTGGAGACATACTTGACGGATGTCGAACGAGTTCACCGATCTTCTCACTAAAGATGGCGCGTGACGGAGACCAAACTTGGACGACAATGAATGGTCCACCTCCTTTTTTGCACTGGACCTTCGAGATCTCCAAGGACACTAGTTTGTTTGGTTGTACATTTTTGTAAAAGGGCGAGCTTATAAGCCCAATTTTTTGTGTATCCTCTCTTTTGGTAACAGCAGCTGCAAAATGTTATAGATTGTATAGGTTTTTTGGATGTTTTTAGACTGAGAAACCTGTCTCGAAGGTTTTCTCGGTCCTCTCTTCCCTCCTTCTGATGTATACTTTTTTTATAGTAATACAAGGTTAACATTATAAAAAAAAAAACGTTGGAAAATTTTGGTAGTTTACTTATGAATATTATTTTTAATAGATTTTTCACATAAAACAGCGTAGAGGCTTGTGGACAAATGAGGCATGTGATGATTTTTTATTTTTTTCTTATCTAGAACTTGAGAAGAGCTTGAGGGAATTTGGGATCTGATTTGGTAACAGATGGAGAGCCTATGCTTGGATGGTTTCTGACCTTTGCATATCTATATCATCTGTAGTCCACTCTACCTTGTACTTGGTCGAGTTACTTGCTCAGGCAAGAGCCGAGTCCAAGGCCCAAGCAAAGTGTTATAACATCGCTTAGTATTAACCATGAATGTTTGTCATACATGAACCCATTCTTTTCTTTAACATTGGGAAATTGTGGTAGTTTCCTCATGGAATATTATTTTTAATAGATTTTTCACATAACACAACATAAAAGCTTATGGACAAATGAGGCATGTGATGAACTTTTTTTTTTTTTTAACAAACTTGTTTAAACATCTATCTGTCCACCATTAGGGACCATTGTTTGGTGAATCATGCTCCAGATCACCATAATCTTGTCCACCCTATTGTGGTTCATGATCCTGAGGGGTGGACTACTGTTGTGTACCACTCATCCAACAATTATGGGCTGCCCGATCTACGGGGATAGGATTCTCCCTTCTGTACACCTCTCCTAGGATCCCTCCCCAACCCTTGCCACGTACCGAGCTTCCTTTTCCTGTCCCCGGGCCCTGCCACCTGGCCTTGTTGCTGATGCAGCCCACCCATACCTTGGCTCCGCCTAATACTATATTCATGGGAATTTTTTTATACACCCATTGTATCCTGATTTAGTGATTCTTGCCACTTTAGATACTTAGTTGCGTATTACCACACCAGCCATTTTGCATTTCTTGATGCTTGTTGATGGTGAGTTGCCGTCCTTAAGGTCATATATGGCTTCTACAATTTTTTACCTCAGCAATGAACCTTGAGTATCGCGAAAGAAAAGATGTACTATTAGCTACAAATACATATTGGGATCCATCATGGAGATTATTAGTGTTCTCTTCCCAACAACTTATCAAATGCCACATAAGCCTCCCTTGTTTACATAATGCAATGAGATGTACAAAGTAGATGCAACTTCTGTAAACTTCGACTTTGATTTAATATGGATGGTTTAAAACAAGGACTGGGTTTAGTTAACATGCCCAAGTCCAGAAACTTGGACTCTGCTAAGTCTGTTAGACTCAGCTGAGTCCAAAAATTAAGAATAAAATATTGGGGACCAGCAAGAGCAGCAATATAACTTAAAAGATGCCATAGTTAAGACTCCATATTACTATTTTATTATTGTACTAATAATAAATTATTTTTAAAAAGATATTGTGCATGTGGCCTTGGGATCAGAGCCTGATTAGGAAGGGGAGCGAGATCGGGAGCGAGATCAAGAAGATAAGCTAGAATCTCCATATGGTTAAGGTCTTTGGCCGTACACCTTGAATTTTAGGGATCCTGATTCCAACATGTTGGAGAGCTAGATCCCAACTTTTCAAGATCATGTGATAAATAGATCCATCAGGTAAAAGCGTGTATTTTCTTTTGAAAAATGTATGCAATATGATTTTGCTGCATTACGTACGTTTTTAGAGGATATGCATTTAAGACTTGTTTCTAATGAGTGTGATATATATCAAGTGATCCCTAAGGGATTGGGATCGTGTTCCTTCCATATTGGAGCGAGATCCACCCGAGATCCAGCTGCGGGAGCGTGGGATCACCGCCAAGTTGGGAGATCTCGGTAACTACAGTTTGCACATATGATTACACAACAGTTACTTTTGGTTTGTTGTTTTTTCTTACTATATGCCTAGTTGCCTACTAGCTATTTGTTTAACTTAAAAGGATTTTGTTGTTAACAAAGAATTTTTTGAGATTGTCCCTGATGGTTATGGAAAATCTAACGTTTGTACTCCAAGTTTGTTTATTTGTCTGTGTTTCTTTTGAACTTCTTGGCTGTCATTCGTGCCAGATTGTGTGTGGTTTAGACAACTTATTCTGCTCAAGAAATCATAAAGCAAGGGATAAAAGAAAGTCATATACAACATGATTGATTACCTAGCTATAACGGACAAAGTCACTTTCCAAATGGAAAAGCAATAGAAACCAATTTTTCAATGTGAAAGCTGACATATAGGGTGTGCACCTCATTTTTCAATCTGAAAACTGACATGTAGGCTGTTAAAATTTTCTAACACACTTCAAATGGAGGAATGACACACCCCAGCTGTTTGATTTCTCATCTGAAATCTTGGAGTGTAACTGTATTCATTCTATATGATCGCATTTGACTTGTATTCATGGTTTGCCAAGGCGTATGTGATTCTTTGCTGCTGAAAAAGCGACGCATGATTTTTTCTCGAGTATTATTTCACCTGAACACTCTTTATATGCGAATTTGATTTTATATGATAAAAATAAAATAATGAACTCTAGAAGAATGCTGTCAAGGTCTGCCATTATAATTAGGCAATGCAACCAGATTAAAGTAATGATATGGGAAATATGCACAAGAGTGAAACTGGGAAGCACACAGGAAAGAAAGACAAGATGAAATTTCTTGTAAATACAGTTAAGTACAGAGCACCTTTTGCGATACAACTGTCCAAGATGATGAGCATTCTGGACGTATGATATATCTGTTCTACTGGTATTTCATTTTTGTGTTTACTTCTTGTACTCCTTTTTTCCTTCCACAAGTTGGTATTCAGATCTTTGGTGTTGGTATTTTTGTTTTTTCCTGAAATGTCGTTGTGGAGCTGTTTCATTAGTGTGACACATTAGCTATAGAACTTAGAAATTGGATTAGATGGTTGTAGGCATCTAATGTGAATGGGAAACGTCATTGGATTATTTGGCATTTGCTGTAAAGTGGGCATCTTTGTTTTCTTGAACTTTCTTATTTACTTTTAAGAATTGTGGCACAATGTATTGTCTCTGGGTGAGGTACTTCAGAGACAAAATAGAATTAGCATGAGAATTAGCATGCTATTGATTTAAATTAACGATTATAAACTTAGATTCGCCTATCGGCTTTGTATTTGGCCTGGTCCTAAGCTGAACCTTATCAAGTTGACTTGGCTGAGTTGAGCCACGCCCCTGAAAAATTTATGGAAATGCTGAGAGTTGGCTGGTTTTTTTAGAACTTGGGGAGTTGTCTAAACAAGGTATAAAAGATAGAGCATCTCCCTTGTGTCTTAACATTGGCCTCCTGCCCTGGCACTCCGCCCATTTTGGTGACAGAATCCTCTGACTCCTTGGAGGAAGATCTTTTGCCCTGCTCTCGTAACTAGTCCAAGAGGCCTTATAAGTAGATGGAGGTCAAGGTAAGATGATTGAGATGTTGAAAGCCAAGAAGGCCAAGAAGGCCGATTATACGGGTTCCATCGTTGTGGTGGAGGCCATTGGGATCGAAGAGTTGAATTGGAACCCTGCGTCTGGAAGGAGGAGAGCTCGACAAAATGAGGTCCAGAGACTTGTTGCGGATTTGCCGTTCGATCCACTTGTTGTCAGCTCTATGGGGTTCACCAGGGGTGGGAAAGATTTCTATCCCAAAGATCGTCCCCTGAAATATCAGGGGACTTGGGGAGCCAAGGAAGAAAAGAGCTTTGAGATGGTTAGTGCGTGCTCACAAACCGCACATTTTACTTCTTCAAAAGACAGTTGTCATCTTTTGGCGTATCAGATGTACAGAGGTTTTGGGGCACAAGAGTTTGCACCTTCAATTGGAGCATCTAGCATTGACTTGCATGTGGATTTTGTCAATGTTGCTAAAACCCTTCTGGATTAGTTGCTCCATTGTGGTTTCGTCATCCAGAGGATGTCTTATCTAGTGCATGTCTCTGTGCATAATGATCACTAAAGGTTGCGTGTATATGTGCAGCATGCATCCTTGCACATAGAGTTGCGAACTGAACTCCAATCCTATCGGCTTTCTCATGTGATAAGTGCATAAAGTCGGAGAATTATAATGGAACACAGTATAGAAATAGGACCTGTAACTACTGCCAATCCTTCCATGACAAAGGAAAATGATGAAGAGAACAATGTGTCGGTATGTTTCCCTGCAATCATTGAAGTTACTCTTTTTAGGAGTTCTTATAAAATCAGTATGCAATTTTATTTAACCGGTGTGCCATGGTTGTTAGTCTCACTAGATTTGGGCTAGTGCCAGCCAAAGTGTGGTATACTTTCTTAGAAAGATGACAGTTGTATTGTTAATAACAATACCGTACATGCCACAGGAAAGGCAAACATCTAGATGATGCTGTCATCTAGATTTGGTATGTTCTTTCTTACTCGCAAGGGTGTTGTATGGTCTTTCTTTTTTTGTATTTTCTTTACTAAGATTTTTTTATAGTAAACTTTGTCCAAATTAGCCAACAACGGCCCTGAAGTAGCCCTGAAGTAGCCCTGAACTGGCCACGACCCAGTGAACTGACATCATGGTCCTAAAAATAATCATGGTTGGAAGATATAAACATTTTCTAAAGAATGTCGATTAAAAAAAAAAACAACATGAGGAGGAGCATTGCGAACAAAAACATTTATGAATAACAATTTCACTTTTCACAAATCCACAATTAAACATAATCCAAAGTAGGTCACCTATACGCTACTGGCATCCCAAGTAGGTCACCTATATACCGCATCAGCGTCCTGATGGGTCCAAACAATCCCTGCAGGTCCAAACATACCTCACAGGCGTACCGGATGAGTCCAAATAGTCCCTACCGGATAGGTCTAAACAATCCCTGCAGGTCCAAACATACCTCATCGGCGTCCCAAATGAGTCCAAATAGTCCCTACCGGCGTAACCGGATAGGTCCTAACAATCCCTGCAGGTCCGATCATACCTCATCGGCATCCCGGATGAGTCCAAATAGTCCCTATCGACATAACCGGATAGGTCCTAACGATCACTGCAGGTCCACTTATACTCAAATTATCTCTGAAACTCTTTAAACATCAGAAAGCAACAATATGATATATGCGAAGTATCATTGAAAACATTAACATGAATTCACTTGAAGCAATTTAATAACAATAACTTCCATTGAAATATCTATAAGTAGCCAGTCAAACATTTTGGACAGTAATTCCAGAAAGGTTGAGATATTCTTGAAATGTAACATGATAAATAATCTATTATTAATCGAAGAACTCTCATAATCATCCATAGGTAAATACAAAATTCTCAACTGTTTAATATCCTTAATAATAACAGACATATCACAAATCATGTTACATAAACATGTAAAACTTATAACACAAAATTCCAAATTTTTAACCAACTGTTTTTTAGGAAAAGTAAAGCCACTTGCACATAATACTTACAATATCAAAATTCATACTGATAAATAGAAATACGGAAATAGCAGTTTTTAAATAACTATTTTATAAGTTTTGTGTGTAAGTGACATCATCTTCCTGAAAAATAGTATGTTTTTAATAAATAGTGATATTCCGTCCAGGATCTTTATTTTATAAGTTTTATGTGTAAGCGATCTCATTTTTCTTTGTAAATTCCTATTATCCCCCCAAAGACAATGTGATCTGGTCGGACCAGCATTCACACTATCTTTGTTGTAACAAATGAGACATGTAAAGCACCCTTTTGCAAGGGTGGTGCCTTGATTACCATCATTGCTTTCCAATCACACTGGTGTGTTCGTGCTCTCTCTCTCTCTCATAAGAGGCAAGTTTTAGAATTGTGTATTTTTTGGGTGCATATGTCATATGGAGATGATTGTTGCTTGCTTTCCCCATTTGAAACTACTCTCACACCTTGTGAATGAAATTGTTTACAGGTCTTTTCTGGGAACTCATCTAATGTGCTCAAATCCGACTTTTGGCTTCAAACCCAAAGATCTATGAACCTTGTGATGACTCATTCGCATTGGTTGACGCCCTTCTAACAAATAGAGCAGACCTTGTGGAGCTCAGGCCAAATTTGTGCATGGAGATTGGTTGTGGGAGTGGTTATGTTATCGCATTGCTAGCCATCATGCTTGCTAGTCAAGGGAGAACATGGGTTCATTACATGGCTACTGACCTCTATGAGGTTGCAGCTCAAGTAACCTGTAAGACCCTTGTAGCGCACGGTGTGCATGCTGAGAGTGTGCACCGACATCGCATCCGATTTGGATAGGTGGTTGGTGGGGATGGTGGACGTAATGGTGGTGACCTCCTTACATCCCGACCCCTGAGGAAGAGGTTGGATGTCATGGAATAGCTGCATCTTGGGTGGGAGGGGAGCATGGACGAAGAGTCATAGACTGCATATTGTTGGTGGTCCAACACCTTTTGTCGATCCGAGGTCCGTTCTATTTGGTTACCCTTACTGCTAACAACCCTCTAGAGATTTGCCTCATGATGAGAGAAAAGGGCTATGATTCTTGGATAATTTTGCAAAGGTCGACAGAAGAGAAGAGCCTACACGTGCTCAAGTTTTGGCGCTTAAGGACGCACCCACAGAGGGAGTCCGATATTGCTAATGCTTCCTCCAACTCATCCTACTTTACTCTCTGTCATTGGGCATTTCGGAGGGGTAGATAAAGGCAGGTGCCATTTCATACCTTTCTGACGATTTGATCACAGTTTTGCCCAACATGTTTTGCCTTTTTTTTCTTTCCCTCCGTTGGTTTCTTGAGAGTGCACCTCACATCCCTTGGCACTATGAATTTGAGGATCTCTCTCTCTCTCTCTCTCTCTCTCTCTCTCTGTTCTAGTAGGCACATCTATCGGCTTCTTTTTACTTGCACGTTCAGTTTTCTTGGTTATAGTTTATATTAGACGATCTATTTCGCAAGAAGTAAAGTTTTGCTGTTTCGCACTGAAGTTTTGGTATTCTGTACTGTCTATTTTAGTTGGTGTAGATACAATGCATCTTTTAAAACTGTTAAAACTTGATATTATCTATTAAGCATTATTACTTTTATACCATTCAACTAAAATTATAATAATTTATATTGTATATTTAATCAGATAGTCATATCAAGCGTCTCTTATTGACAATCTTAAAAGACGTCAAATATATTTATTAACCATGTGTTAACTATTAAAGACTTTTTATGCTGCAAAGGCATTTTTCAGGATGAAGTTTCTCATAATGGCACCCGAGGCTTTATCCTTACTCCTGATCTTGCATCCATCCCTGAGCATGGGAGGTTTTTTTGCCTCCTTCAGTTCTTATTTTCCAAACTGATGGATTTTTCCAAGAGCATCCAAGTTCAAGGAATTTTTGGTATATCTTTAAAAAGTTCGTGAAAGTTTTATTTGAGAATTAAGCTTTCCTCAAGAAATTAGAGCATGAGCCGTCACTTAGCTATGAATTGAAATACTTAGGGGACACGAGGCCTCCAATTCCTATAAGATTCCTCGGTAGAGTACAAGTAGATGGCAGATTGTAGGAACTGTAGGAACAGCTGTGTGAAACAATGGACGGTTACAGTTCAGGTGCGTCGTTCCACTCAACAACAAGGCTGGCTGCACTCAGTTATTCAACAGTGGACATTTCTTTGCTAATAATGATGCCGCTAATTAGAAGCTGTCCGTACTTTGTCAAAAGTAAGGGGAAAATAAAAGAAGAAACTAAAGATAAAAACAAGAGCATCACATAGATGAACATCAAAAATTTCATGCTTTATATAGCCATCTCGACTTGCCTAAAGGAAAACATAAGACAAAATCACTTGCAACTTTCCGTCGAGCTCATCCAAGCACAGTTTAGATTCCTTGATAACCTCTGGATGGATTCAGTAACTAATTCCCTTTAAACAACAATCCTTAATTACATCAATAGTACAGCTAGCTGCCCTGTCCATTTACTAATTGCTCCAAGATGGACCGAAAATGGACCAAAGAACTTCACATTAATAATACCTGATCCTTCCAATTTCAGAGCTCACAATATACCGGCCAAACAAAATCTATCCAACGGGTGGGGGAGCATTCAAGCTTTGCAAAATTGCTGTATATCTATGTGCCTAGAACCTAAAATCCTTCTTCTTTGTTTTCCCTTCCTTTTCTTGCATCTTGCGCTTCCTCTTTTTCTTGGCCTGCACAGAGTTTAAAAAACACAAGAAAATAATAATAGTAATAACAATAAAAATAAAAACAAAAACAAAAACAAACAAATACTCATGAGAACCAAACAAACATGAGCAAAAATTCCACCCCACTCTAGAATGCACTCAGAACAAACCTCTGCCACCATGTCACTGAAGTCCTCTCGCTGATTCCGCAGCTTCTCCTCTTCCCTTGCTTCCTCATGCCTGCACGATGCCCACCCCATGATGAATAACTCACACTCCAATAGAACTATGAATGCTCGCATTAAACAGCGCATCGAGAGTCCCGTTTACTAGTATCAAAGAACGCTTACTTGCTGCCAGAGTAACATCATCCAAAGCCTCCAATTCTTCCGACCTAAGAGTGACATCCACTTTGTCCGACTTTTGCCCTCGCAGTAGCTCAACCTGGGTAAGAATAAAGTGGAATCAGCATGACAAAATGAAGAGGATAATTTACATGACGTCGAAAGAATTTCAGATATTTATAAGTAAAAATAAAATAAAATCTCTAGCCAACAAATTGAGCAATCATTAAGTGCCTATGGAATAACACTAAGGCTCATAAGAATAAACTTGCTTACCCTTTTAGCACCAGTTTTGTTGATTGCCCAAAGCACATACCTGTCCAAAGGAAAAAGTTGTCAAAACCAAATCAAGAATTTCCCTATGTTAACCTTCTCTCAAAAAAAGAGTTCACTATGAGAAATAAGCATATGCACAAACGAAGTCCTAAAATTCATGAAAGCGATGGTCAGGCAACCAACTAGTTAAGGCGAAGGCATACATGTGCGTTGTTCCGAGTAAGGTTCCTCGTGCAATCCTTTCTTCCTTCTCTTCGAGTACCTTAGTGGAACGAGAGAAAGTGTAAATTTTAGAGTGGACTCCATGAGAATAAAATGGTAAACAAAAGATGACCTACTAAGATATAAGATACCCCTATAATAAAAGTTTTCCACTAAAATACTAATGTAGCTCAATGAAAGGTCGTGACCAAAATCTTTCAATGTACTCACTTGATAAAGAGGCTTCTTTGGCTCTTTCCTCTGTTGCTTTCGAAGATCGATGACATCAGGTGCCTCCACACCAGTTGGCATACTGTGGGGAACGTAAACAACTCAATTTATTAAACACAGGGAAAAGAGACACAGGGAGGGAGAGAGGAAGGGCAAAGAGAGAGAGAGAGAGAAAGAGAACCTGGAGAGGCTGTCAACTGATTGAATACCAACCTCCAATTCTTCTTCTTCCATTTGTTCCTCCTCTTCCTCCAAGTCGCCCCAATGCTTACTCTTATCAACAGGTTCCTCCTGCAATCACAGTGAAATGCATAATGAGACCACAACATTACTGTCATCATTAAGGAATATCAAAAAAAAATTGTCATTATTAAGAAAACCATAGAAGCATGGAAACTTGTATTCTAACAAAGGAAGATGTTAGTTGCATGCGCACCACGTTTGTTACAATTAGGAGGATTTATTCTATTAATTCAATTTCCAAACAGTACCCAAAAATAAATTACCAAAAAAAATGGATTTCAACAGTTAAGAGATGGATATCATATTTCCATACCTCATAATTAGGCTGTTCTTGCTGTTGGACACCAAAAACATCTCCATATAGCGGGCGTCCAAACTACAGAATAAAATTTCACAGAATCAGCCACCAAAGAATTCACAATTGCACAGAACAAAACCCATATAAAATATTGCAAGCACTATGAGAGCATGAATGCAAGAATCATAGGAAGCTCACTTCATCAACAGGAGGCTTGCCCCAGCCTCCAGGATGATAACCAAAGCTAGCTCCAGGTGGAATAGGAGCATTCAAGCCAGGAATTTTCAGATGCAGGTAAGATGGCGGAGGACCATATCTCTGTCACAAATTTATAAACCAAGCAGGAGGCAAACCAACAGTCTTGTCAAGGAATTCAACTAAGAGAGAGAATGTTTAACTACTCAAGCAATAGAGCAAATAAAACGACAAACCAAAAAGGACTGTACAGATATTCACACAAACCTGCATATTGATGAGCCAAGGAGGTGGTGCACCTTCAGGCATACCAAGAGCTTCCTTTAGCTCCTGAGAGAGAATGCCTGGTTTCATCTCCCTGAGCATGACCTGTATAACAAGTACATGAGCATAAACAGGCAGAAGAACAATGATCTCAACACAGAACTTCAAATAATGAAAATTGCATGCACTCGTGAAGATATATTCCAAGCAGCTCATCCAGCTAAAATGAAAGGGCCTTGTATCAAAAAGATGTCCAGCAATAAACTAGTCCCCTAAAATTTACAGATAACAGGTAAAAGCAAGAATATTCTGAACACAAAAGAAGGAAGCATTACCGCTATTATTATCATTGTATTGTTAAAAATAACTAAAATTCTAGTTTACTTTTCATATCAGTTACGAAAAAAATTGTCTTTCATTAACACATGATTTTACGTTATCACAAAAGCAATGTAATAAAAGGAATCTAATAGTATGAATCAAGGTTGTCGATTTTTTACATGCATTTGGGGCATCAAATAGTATGAATCAATAAAATAAATCAGAGTATCTTGTTCACTTGTGTATTAACAAAATGAAGCAAGAAACCAGAAAACAAAACAAAATCCAGGAGATTTAGAACAGAGAAAAATTGAGAAAGCCCTTAATTTTTTTACAGCAGATTCACAACAGAGAAAAATAAGGAAAGCCCTACATTTTTTACAGGGTTTCCTAAAAGAAAACCCTAAGAGGATCCAAAAACCTAAATTAGTAAGAAAAAAAGAAAACGAAAAATATGCATATGACTCACTGATTGAGAGGTTGCCGCTCTTGCTTGCTCAGGGGTTGCTCTTGCTCGCACAGGTTCCTCTAGATCTTGTTCGCAGTTTTCAAAGTGTTAATAAATCTACTCGATTTGTTTTGTTTTCTGAATTTAAGTTTCATAATTAGGGCTGAATATTGACATCCAAGCCATTTCCATCATAAAATTTCCAACACCGAAACTATATCTTCTGGCAAAATTTGGAGGTGCAACTTGGTGGCAAATCATACAAACCTCACCCATTGAATGAATGTTGTAGAGAACCACAACCTACTACATCAATTTAATGAGCTCCCTAAAACTCCAAATGCCCCAACTCTTAGGATTTTGCTAAACAACAAACATATAACCACCATTACACTTTCACATGCAAAAGCGAAATCCCAAGTCCCATTTAACACCATAAGAATACAAGATCAATATAGTCATAATATTTCTTAACACAAAATTGAGCTCATCACTTGAACCAATAAATCCTCATATCACAAAACCTAAAACATCTGTAGAGAGAGAGAGAGAGAGAGAGAGAGAGAGAGAGAGAGAGAGGAGAGACGACAACGTAGTACGTTAGTTAGTTAGTAGTAAGTAAGTAAGTAAGTAAGTAAGGTAACGTAACACGTACTCGTCGTCGTACGACGACGTACGTACGTCGTACCGT